ATATAAATATTTATAATATCAAATAAATACTGTTAGATTAATATAAAATATATATTTATAATAAATTAATTTAGATTTATAAATATAAATATTATTTACTAGAAATTTAATTAAATATAAAATACACGCGACCTATAGTTCTATTTTTTTGGGGACACAGGTAGTACATTATAACGGGAGCAGAGCAGGGGACATGGCCAGTCGGTATGTATGCTCTGCTCTGCTCTGACCCTGACCTCCGGTGGCTGCCTGGCTGGACATGCTAGGCGTCGCACAGGCTGTGTTTACTTCACGAAAAAAAATATTTGATGTCACATCGGATATTTCGGCGATATTGGAAAGAGTTTTTGATATTAATAAAAAAAACTAATTACATAGCTCGTCTGAAAACTGCGAGACGAATTTATTAAGCCTAATTAATTCATCATTAGCGCATGTTAGTTACTGTGGCACTTATGGCTAATCATGGACTAATTAGTCTTAAAACATTCGTCTCGCGATTTTCAATTAAACTGTGCAATTAGTTTTTTTCGTTTATATTTAATACTCCATGCATGTACCGCAAGATTCGATGTGATAGTTTGGGGTGAAAATTTTTGGAAACTAAATCAGGCATTAGTTCGCGAAATGAAAATTTTTTGACGTCACATCGGATGTTTCGGGGATATCGGAAAGGGTTTTCGGATACTAATAAAAAACTAATTACGTAGCTCGCCTAGAAACTGCGAGACGAATTTATTAAGCCTAATTAATCTATCATTAGCGCATGTTAGTTACTGTATCACTTATAGCTAATTATGGACTAATTAGTTTTAAAACATTTGTCTTGTGATTTTCAATCAAATTGTACAATTAGTTTTTTATTATCTATATTTAATACTCTATACATGTGTCATAAGTTTCGATATGATAATTTAGGATGAAAATTTCTGGGCCTCAGCCAAGCTCGTCGCGTGGCCGATTCTCAGTCACGGGTCAAGTACCGGGCCTTGGCTGACGAGTACACGCTGTTGCTGGGTCGTCCTGCCTGCCGCTGTACGTGCACCTGTGTACGTGCTCGCTGAAATTTGCTTTGCGTTAGCCCAAAGGATTACTAGTAGTGGTTGCTTTTTCATCTCGCACTTGTGCCATTCCTGTCCTGCGAAGGTGAGCAGGGGGTTGGTAGCTGGCAGGCGCTAATATGCATGCACGAGTCTGTTCGGTTGGCTGGTTCGTATCGTCGTTGGTTCGTGAAATAGTACTACTGATTGGTTTGTGTGAGAGAAAAATACTGTTATGATTAGAAATTTACGATCGTATACAACATGCCACAGCCAAACGAACAGGCTGTGGTTGGCTGCGGGCCATAGATAGCTTGCCGCACGTGTGGTGGGGATGCCAATTCAATGTTGCACGGACGCTTATAATTGGTAGTGAAGAAAAATGCAAAATTGGAGTTATCGCTCACGGATACAGATACAGTATATCATATGAGTTTGTTAGTACAAATCAAAGATCTAAGACTAAAGGATCAGAACTCCACGTATTCTCTATGTTCATTTTCAAAGGTAACGTTTAGTTGGGAGTTGACATGGACTGGGACGGTCCTGTCTTTATTTCGTGGGACGGAATAATTTTATTTTCTATTTGGTTGAGGAAAGATAAGACCAATCCATTTTGTATTTGGTATAGAGACATCAAAAGTGAGATCAGTTATTGATAAGTGAGGCCTATTTATTATTTTTTTATATTTTTTCTTTTCTTCTTTCTCTCCTTATCTCTTTTCCCCAACCGTGACCATCCGCACGAGCCTGGCCATGCGTCTGCTTCCCCACACAATTCCTCCGCCTCCTTCTCCGGTGAGCTCGCCGTAGCGGCGGCGGGGGAGCTCGCCCGTGCGCTTGCCCACGATGCGGCAACACGGTGCTCGCTCGACCGGTTGCCCGCTTCTTCCTCGATTCTGACAACTCCGGTGAGTCCCAACTTCCTCCTTCCTCAACTACGGCAAGCCCCTGCTCCTCGTCTTGATCTTCTCACGCGCGTGTGCGGCACTCGTCCCACTAGGGACGATCACATCCGCTCGTTTTTAGGGGGCGAAGTGAGCCCGGATCTTGCGGGAATATTTGCAAAAGGGATGTCCTCGCCCCCACACGCCTCCAAACCAAACAGCCCTAGAGTTAGGGCCATCTCGTCCTGCCCCTGTCCATCCTCGAAACCAAACAGACCCAAAGTGTCGCTAGGATATTGTCAAACTTTCTTAAGCCTGACTAAGAGCAAGGCTAATAAAACAGCCGGCTTGGTAGCTGTAAGATTCTTTGTAGCCTTCTCTCAGCCCACCCATATAGTAGTGAGCTCTTCACTATTAATACATGGCCCACTTATCTCTCTCACAGAGTTTCTTAATTTTTGTGCCCAAGCCGGCTATAAGCTTACAGCCCGCTTCACCTCTCTCTCTCCTTCTCTCCTCCACCTCAACATTTATAGCTAGCTTACAGCCTGCTATTATACTTGCTCTAAGTGACTAAATTTGTAGAAAAAATATTAGTAACATTTATACCTTCAAACAGGTTTATTATAAAAATATATTCAATGGCATATCTAACAATACTAATTGTATATCATAAATATTAATTTTTTTGTATATATTTGGTCAGTGCTAGATCCCAAATGTTCGGACGGACGCCTGCGCTTCCACTGCTTCGCGCGCTCCACGTGGGGCCCACGTCGCCTCGAACGTCACCAGCATCGAGAAGAGAGGGAGGGGACGGCACTCACTTTTGCCTCTGGTTCGGATGTCCAGCCGGCACCAGGAGGAGGAGGAGACACGGAGGTGAGGCAGCAGAAGACGAGGAGGGAGATACAACACCCGATCTATTTTTGAAACATCCAGATGCAATACTTTTAACATACGTCTAAAGACAAATGAAACTTGAATCTGGAACAATTGCAAAAACATATGAAAATTATTGTAAAACATAGTGCAACATCCAGATAAAACACTTGCAATATATGTAACATCCAGATAAACACACTTACAACATACATCTGAAAAAAAAATATGAAACATTGGGAACAGAATCTTGCAACATACGTGTACAACCATTTCAACATATGCAACATCCCGATCCACTTTTGCAACTTATGAAACAATTGTAATATACCTATGAAACATCTGAAACATTTAAAACATAGACTTGCAACATGCGTTTTTCACCTTTCTTCTTCCGTACGACGCAGCGCAAAGCGGGGAACGGCCGGTTCCGACCAGCCGATGACAGAGGATGGTGGCGGCCTGGCAACGACCAGCTACGCCTGGCCAGCGATGGCCCCCTTTCTTGGCCGCCTAGCCTGGGCGCGGCGCAGGACAGGGCAAGGTATGGCGCGGCGGGCCGGGGATGGGGGCGCGACGGGGGATGGCGGCGAGGGCGCGCTGAAGTGAGGCACGGCGTGGGATGGCGGCAGCGGAGTGGGCGTGGCGAGGCACAGAATGGGATGCGCGATGATTGGTTGTGTGGGATGAACGGACGGCCACATGTGGAGAGTTTTTTTTAGGGTGTGCGGCCGGACGGACGGACGTCCTCATCCTATCGTTATCAAAGTTGAATTCATTTGATTCTCAGGAGGTAAGAACCACAGTTTTAAAAAGAGACTAACAAAGGGAGTTTAATATAATATTGACAAAAAGAAACACATAATCGAATCTGTCTATTTGAAACTCGGGTGATGTGTCCCCCTCTCATCACTCAAACAATTTGAGGGATCAAATCACACAAATGAAACAAAAAACAAAATCTGAGTGATTCAAGCGCCCTATGATCACACGAATCATAAAAGGACAAATCAATTAAAAAATAACTAGAAACAGAATTTGAGTGAAACATGACTTAAAATCACTCAGGTTATGTATCACCTCCATCCACCTTCATGCAATACAAAATACAAGAACAAAAGCAGATGGCATGAAATAATTCTATCAAAATTCTCACTTGATTTACAGAAGAAATCAAATCACAGATTTCAAAGAAAGAAATAAAAACAGATGAAAAAAGGTTTATACACAAGCTGATTATCTAAAGAAGATCAAAACAAAAGCATAAAAATTGAGATAAAAAATGAGAGATTGAGATCAAAAGAAATAAGCAAAATTCAAAAACCAGAAATTTTCTATGGTTTCCAAAGCCAAAGAGATTATGAGGGCATTGCCTCAAACAAACAAATCAAACAAAAAGCCATTAAAACTATGAACCAACCAATGCGCCTAATAAACTTTTTCACTTAGTACTAGTTACATCATTAAGACCTAAGAATTACACCTAATTAACCACTGTAAGTATAGTTGAATGTAAGTACAAAATTAATCCCTAGTAACTTGATAGTAAATTAATTAAGTGCATTATCAGGTGGGGACATTCTTTTCTTAATAGATACAGATTTTTCTACTGCATTTAACAGGAAGAAAGTAATTATTATGTGCTTAGTTTTGACTTCGCACGATTTCATAGTTCGAGTATTATAAAGGATCCTAGGGCCTACTACCTACTAGTAGGTAGATAATTGCGTATGCAGTTCACAAACCAAGAAGACACCATATGGCCAAAGGACATCTACCAAAGATCATGCACGTAAAGCACATTTGCATGTGTTCTCAGCAAAGCCCGCCGGCCGTGACGTAATTAGTACGTACTCTACGATTGATGGTTATGATGGGGACCAAAATCAAATCTCACGGACCAAAATTTGCGTGACGGAGGCAAACAAATCACTCAAGCAAAGGATAGCTTTTCTCAATTTTTTCAACGACACCGTGTTAATGAACCCATGTACAAGCTCTGTTTCAGCATGCTCCCATGCAAACCTAACAAACAGAGGTATAGCCAGGCACTGTCAAGCTATCAGCACAAACTACACACCTCAACCAAGAAACCACCATCAACCATATAATATATGTACGTACGTACACGCACGAACACGTCGATCGATCAGATACGCACGTCACCCACCAGAAAACCCAACAGCGGAGGTCAGCATCGTCCACACCACCCTGCCACGCCAACCGCACAACCGCGGTCCATCCCCATCAACTCCGCCGCCGCCTCCTCCGTCAGCGTCTCCAGCACGGCTGCCGCGATGAGCACGCCCACGTCCTCCACCGATGGCCGCAGGTCCTCTGCGCGGACGCTTGCCCCGGCCATCTCCGAGGCTACAAGGCTGGTCAGCCTACCAAGGTCTTTCTCCAACGCCACGTCCTCCTTCCGACGCGCGTGCTTCTTCTTCTTCCTCCTCCTCGCCCGCGGCGGCGTCGGCGGCGTTGAGCTGTCGGTGCTGCTGCTGCGGCGGCGGCGGCCGTCTTTAGACTGAGTGCTGCTGCTTTGGTCCTTGGCGATGGCGAGGACGTCGTCCAGGTCCAGCAGCGTGTTGGGTGTGTAGGCGGCCTCAAGGAGCTCGCTGAAGATGGCCAGGGCTTCTGCGGTGGTTGTGCGATTAATGGCGCGTCAGACTTTGGGCAGATTGTAGGAGCTCGATTCGATAATGGCGGGTGACAAAGAGATGGTGGCTGGGGTGCTTGCTTACGTACTCGGCTCGTGCGGCGGTGGTGGCGAGTGCTCGAACAGGCGCTGCTCCAGCACGGACACAGGGCTCAGCTGCTTCTTCGAGGACTCGTCCTCGTCGTCGTCTTGTTCCTGCTCCCCGTCGTCCTCCATGTGCGCTTCGACGGCTCTGGGGGGAGCGGGACGAAGAGCAAGCTCGAAGCTGTCTGGCGTCCTCTGCTTTTCGGCGACGACGTGGCGCCACCCGATGGCGGCCCGCTGCTGCCGGCTCTGCTTCGTCGCCGCAGTACCGCTTAGAATCTTGGAGAGCAGCATCCTGAGCACGCCGCTGCGACGGGAGCCCTTCTTGTTCCTCGCCGGCCGCCTCAGCGTCCGGCCGGTGCCTCTGGTCTTGGGCCAGCACGTCGAGCAGGCGCCGCCGCCACACGAGGTGGCGTCGAGGAAGGCCGGGGAGCAGCCTCTCTCGAGGAGATAGAGATCGAGGGAGAATGGCTCCTGCTGCTCACCCAGGACCTCCGACAGGCGGCGGCGGCTGCTACTGCCGGACGGCGACGGTGAAGGGTGGGCCATGGGGCAGCACGGGGAAGGAAGCCGATGGACAAGGCGAGGTGGAAGGAGGAATAGGCGTGTGACGTGTGTGTGGAAGTGGAACAGCTGGTTGGAGCATATATTCGACGTGGGGTCAGGAAGCGCGGGGGAAGAAGCTTTACAACTTTTTCTTTAACAACTTTCAGAAGAAAAAAAAGGTGATAAAAGTTTGGGGCTTGCTATTTTTCAGGTGCCTGAAAAATAACATTTGTTCAGGCAACAACTCTAAAACCATTAGATGAAGATCTAATAGATCTAAATTCACACGAAGAAAAGGCAGATCAAAGGATCACAACGTCGCCTGAACAAAAAAACATATTTCAGGCACCTGCTTTTTAGGAAAAGTGTAAAAGTTTATATGAAAGAGGGACTTGCTAAAATTTAGGTGCCTGAATTTTAGTTTTTTTTCAAACGACGATTATTGCATATATTTTATACCAAAATTGCAGATTTCAATCATTGCAATTTATGTAGGTGTAATCTGCAATTTTTGACACCGAGAATAAAAAACCAATTAGACAAAACCGATAAAATCTGATTTGTGTTGGCACAAAGATAATTAATAATTAACAAATATTTCTATAGGCAGATAAGGACAAAAATTTAATATGTTAAGACACAAAGATAAATAACAAGGGCATCACAAAAGTAACAATTTACGTGTACTAGTTGATGGTACAAGAGTGTTGTCTAAAATCATCTTAAAATTCAGGCACCTGAAATATAGAGGGAAGTGATAAATTATAGGGAGACATTAAGTTGTGACCCGTGGTCGAGAGTTCACCCTGCTAGTTGAGACACAGATACCCAATTAGACGGGTATATACAAACAAAAATCATGAAAATTGAATGAAATTTCAGTCATATTTTGAATCTTCATGAAATTTTAGCTAAGATTTGAAATAAACTAAACAAAATGGAATTGAAATTACCGGTATGTGTATTTACTGGAGGTGACCAGTAGGAGTGAAAATCACCGGTTTTCGGTGAAAACCGGACGAAATTATGAACTCTCAGCATAGGTGCTCACACTCCTACTAGTGCTCTCGACGATCGTCACCCGCTGATCTCAACGCCTATTGTCCTACCCCATAAGCCCTTTCCCCCCTCCACTGGCTGCAGGCAGCTCTAGCCGCCTTGCCAAGCCACTCGCCTGATGTCTCCTCCTCGCTCGTTGTGGCGGGGCGGAGGGGCATACTAGGGAGCAGAGTGGAGGGGCAATGGCAGAAAATCCTCCAGGAGAAAACACGAGTGGAAGGCCACGTTGTATAAAAAATCGATGCTACTTGAAACTTTTTTTTGCCACCCGATTCTCAGACAATCGAGAAGTTTGAGTGAGATTCTCGATTATTCTCACATAGAATCTAATTTTAAACAGCTTTAAACACACAAATACATATAATTTCCTTTTCAGTTGAAGCCCAAACAGAACGTACACGTCTGTCTGCATGCAACGCAAGACCACATAGGCTTTCAGTTGTACCTTCTCTCTTCCGTCTTCACTGTCTATTTTCGATGCGCCACGATGCTTTTACCTGTTCTTTTTTTAGGTCACAACAGAGAATCCTCACTTGATTTTTCATTTCATTGACCACAGCCCTTAAGACTGTCTCCAATAGATGACTCATATGGGTACCAAAAATCAAAATAGGTAGCAGAAGATCTAAAATTAGCCTCCAACAGAGTACCTATACGGGAGACCCATTTTAGGTTGTCCGAGAGGCACAACCCAAATATGAGTATCATCTCCCGAAAACCCATTTACAGAAAGGATTCTCTTTTGGGTCCTGTTGTTGGAGAGGATGTCGAATGAGTATTGAACCTTTTGACTGTAGCGCTACCCAAATATTGAATGAGTCTTGTATTTTTGGTATTATTGTTGGAGATAGTCTAACGGACTGCAGGATAGATGACATATTTTTTACCATAATTTATATCATCAAGGTACAAAATCTATTTCGTCAACCTGCACTGCCATAATTTGGCTTCTGATGATGAGATAAAAAAATAATTTGGCTTCTGATTTGTCTTGTGGGAGACCGGCGGCTCTGATTTGCACAAGCCTTCCGTCGGCTTAAATAAATCCGTTGCGGCTACGCTTCCACAGCTGCCGGCAGCAAAGGGAAAACCAACCAGTTCCTTTTCGAGCGTGGCTCGCGGCTCGCCTGTGCTCTCGCTTGTCCGCAGGCGCGGGGCGGGCCGCCTTCGTCTGCTCTGCTCTCAGTGCTCACCCCCACGCGCGACAGCTCCACGGCGTCGTCGTCGTGTCGGGTCAAATCGGCAGGTGAAAAGCGCGTGGGATGCCTGGCTAGAGTGCCCGGATTGGTACTCCGCCCGGTACCACATTTGCTACGTTTCGTTCAAACGTCTGGGCATGAAAGACTGAGAGAGAGCATATGTGGTACTACTACATTCAGCTCGGAATTCAGATTGCAATGGTTGAAAGATTGCATTAAAGCACAGCTAGAGTGCTAGCTGGCATTGCCGTTGACAGGCTCGTTGGAATGCAGGAGTTTTACAGGATCACTAACTATTTTATTACTGTGGAAACCACACTGCTTGAGGGCTCCTGAGACTAACAAATCCCCACACAATACAATCGATTGCTGATTTGAACTGGCTGCTAACTTGAACGGGTGCCAACAAACGCCAAGACATGTGGAACCGGGCACTGCTCAGCAGCAGCGCTCTGAATTGTCGCCTCAGCGGAAGCCATCGATGCCTGTCGATGGAACCGGCACGGCGGCACTTCTGGCAAAACGCGACAGGGGAATCGCAGCTCCGGCCGGATTTCCGTCTCGTCGCCGTTGTTGGCTTCCTCTTGTTCGTTCGCGGGCGGGGCACGCTGGATGAACAGTAGGCTCGTGGATGAACAATGCGTGCACGAACAGCCGCCGCTGCCATATTTCGTATCCCTGTCCCCGAATTCACCTCGCTCCTCTCCTCGGTTCAGCAGCCGCAGCGGAGCTGCCTGAGGCGTTCGTTTGTCTAGGATCGGCCTGGAAAGAGGTCCATTCTACCCGGATTGAGCCAGCACGGAATGAATATCAGTCCAGCACCGAATATGTGTTCGGTTAAGGCTAGCCTAGATTCCAATCTAACCCGTTTCGATAATTCGACCCCCTCTACAGCCTGGAACCAATCTCCACCTATGACCCGCATGAACGAATCGCTCTGGAATCTAGGTCCACGAATGAAAAGTGGGCCAGATTCAAGCCGAGGCATGTTCGCTTGAATTTATCAGTCAGCTTATCAGATAGAATCTACAGTATTTTTCTCTCACAATAAAACAGCTTCAGCCGTTTTATCAGCCGACTTTAATACCAGCCGAACAGACCCGGAATGAGGCCTAACTGAACGGGAAGAAGCTCAAAAGGGTGCAGATTTAATTAGCTGTTGGCGATTTCCAGATGCCTTCAGTGCCTAGGGCAAGATTAATCACTGGAGTAATGACTGAATAAGAGCATCTCCATCAGATCTTCTATCCCTTCTATTGTAACCAGCTAGAGGAGATATGATAAAAATAATTTTTATTTTTCACAAGGCAGTTCTATATGCAGTAATGCTCTAAACCGGACGTCGGTCCGCCAGGCGTTGCTAGGCCACGACGCCAACCCAACAATCCACGCTCCTTCGTTTTTAAAAAACTGATCATCCACTTATTTCTATTCACTCGTTCCTCTTCCTATCACTCTTATTCACTCGCCTGCCGCCTTCGAGCGCATGGTCGTTGGCCCTCTGAGGCGTACCGCTCGGCCACTAGCCTTGCCAGGCACGACGCACGGCCGCCTCCGAGCCGTGGCGCTCGGCTGCCAGCCTGGCTAGACGCGGCGCGCTGCTACCCTCTCTAAGTCGTGTGGCCGCGGCCTCCCTACTCGCTCGTGCGGCCGATGCCTCCCTTCCATGACGTGTAGCCATTACCGCCGGCCCGCCGCCTACAAACGCCGCCGGGCTGCTACCTCTGATGAACACCACACACTAACGAGCCTCCGTTCTGCCCTCGAACAGTAAGGAGATGATGCGTTGAAAGCGCATGTTGCAAGAGTTTCAGATGTTTCAGAGATATATTGCAAGTGTTTCATATGAATGTTGCAAAAATAGATCGTGATGTTGTACATGTTGTAATGGTTGTACACGTATGTTGCAAGCGTCCGTTCCAAATGTTTCATCTGTTTTTTCAGGCATATGTTGCAAGTATGCTTATTTGGATGTTGCATATGCCTCACACATATGTTGCAATGGTATGTTCAAAATATTTCAGCTGTTTCAGTCTTATGTTGCAATAAGTGTTTTCATGTTGCAAGTGTTTTTATCTAGATGTTGCATATGTTTCACACACATGCTGTAAGTATATGTTCAAAATGTTTCATCTGCTTCAGACGTATGTTTCGTTCAAGTGTTTCATGTTGCAAGTGTTTCGTGTTTCAGTGGTGTTCAGAGAGTCATGGGGGCATGGCCCGGGCGCCGGGGGAAGGAGCGAGGCGAGCCCGGGACCGACAGATGGGGCGCGGCACGCCTGGGGTCCTGTGGACGGGCGTGCTTGTCCTCATCCTGGTTCCCGAGTCCCGCCCGCGCGGAGAGAGAGGAGGGGGCCAGGGGGAACGAGCGGCGGGTGTGGGGCGGGGGCGAGACGGATGGGGGCATGGTACGTGTGCGTGGCGGAACGAGGCAAATAGGGAAGGATTACAACGATACAGTGGGAGCTGCGGCGTGTTTCTGCTAAGCCATTCGGTACTGTCCGATGGAATCCTGTCCCATCGGACGTCCGGGCGCCAGCAATTCCCTTCTATATGAGATCTTTTAAAAGAAAATTTTGTTTTTCCCTAAAAAAATTGTTAGACTAGGGACATTTGGGTCATGGTCCATACGCCAGGGAGACCTCTTCTTTTTTTTGCCCTTATGAGCAGGGTCGAGTGGGCATCGGTAGAAACTGGCAGAAGGTGGGACCTAGCGATATAGGAGAGGGGGAGGTCTCTCCTTTTTGTTAAGAAAGATAATGGTAAATTTAGGAGATCTCCTAAAGAATATAGGGATAAGCGGTCTACTAGACTTATTCAAATTTTTAGACCCCATTTGGAGGGGTTCCTCCTACTTCCAGCTCTGATACTATAGCGGTATTCTAGCAGTGCTATAGCAGGAGAAGCCCCAAACATGTAGCTTCTTCGGCTCCTTTGTTTTTAGATCATTTTGGGCGGGGCCGGAGACGTTTTCCCCGTGCTACAGTTATTTACAATACTAAACAGTTCTCTACGGTGTTCTGGAGGGCGAAGTCCCTAGCCACACCAAACGAGCCCTTATTTAAGGATAGGGGAGTGTAAAGGAGTAAGGCTATACCGAGTAAGGGCTTGTTTGGGAGCTTTAAAACAAGTGTTCTTTTAAGGCTTTTAGAACCTTTGAGGACTTACATGAAATTCATGGATCGGACTCATCTATATTTTTTTTGGATCTAGATTTTTGTGAACTTGAAGCGTTTGGCTTAGAGTTGGTGAAGTTAACCTGTTTTTTTGTGGATTTAGAGTTAGTGAAGCTCTCCAAACAGGCCATATATCATGGCATCTAGAGTATGGAGCTGGCCCTAACATTGATGATCCATGGGACAAGAACTAATCGAGCAAAGGAATATATAGCGAGTGCAAGTGAAAACCAGCGACGAGGATTTTGCCTCATTTGGGAGGGCTCTCTCCTACTCTGACTCTACCTGACATCACACTACAGCAGAAGTTCTAGCACGCCCATTTCTCTTTTGCCCCCAGCGAAGCCTTTTTTTTTCTTTGGCTTTGCCAACGACTTTTTTTAGCTACTATATATATATATAGCACGGAGCCAGAGCCAAGCGAACCCGAGCATGCATTTGTCGAGAGGATTTGTCCAATTTCAATCAAACTAATTAAGTTTTAGCTCTCCACGTTTGTTGTGTCTTGGATTTTTATTATCTTGTTTTAATCTTTAATGTGTCACTTGAGATCTTCGCTTGCCTAAATTCATCGCCTATGGAAAAAATGTTATATACTTATAACTTCCTCTATTTATAATTATAATTCACGTAACTTTGTTCTAAGTAAAACCTCCTCTTTAGAACTATAGACTTGGCTTCAATTCTATCATTTTCTTATAGACTTTTAAAATTATTTTTCACTTCGAATTTTAACTTTCTCTAGTAAGTTATAAAAAAACGTTAAAATTTATGGTATGAACCTAGGCCTAGTTCTATTAACTTTTTATAAAATATGTGTTGATAATGTATTTATGTTAACATGTACTCCCCCATTCCAAATTATAAGATATTTTGGCTTTTTAAGGTACATTGTTTTACTATGTATCTAGATATAGTGTATACCTAAATGCATAGCAAAAGTTACATATCTAGAAAAAGTAAAAACGTCTTATAATTTGCAACGGAGAGAATAATAGTTGCTACTATACTATTTCTGTGAAATACTTAACCAAAATTAGAAAACTTGATTTGATTTAGATTAATATTAAAGATAAAGTGACTACAAATTATTTGGAACACTAGTAAACATTGTTATTTTCATTGACTACTAAATAAAGTCGTATAAGCCCTAACTAGGAAACGATGAGTAATGAGTTAATCTTTTTCAGTTCGTGCTCACAGCTTGGATTGGATGCTCAGCAGGCCGTTCAAGCGGCGACCACACACAGCAGGCTCTTCAGGTGGCGACCACACGAAGACAACGTTGGGTTTTTTTTTTTTTTTTTTTGAAATCGACAACGTTGGGCTTTTATTACCCAACAACTGGCACATTACCGGCCCAGAAAAAATAATAAAGAAGCAAAACACGGGTCGATGTTCTAAAATCGCTGGCCCGTCGCCCTCTTCGCGTCGGCAAACATCACATGTAGAAAATGAAATGCAGAAATGCAACTATTACCAGAAGGCAGAAGCGTGAGCATGTTTCATTCATATATGTCAATGCTTGTTGGAACATTAACAAATTGGTAGCGCAACATTCCTCATACTGTAAAGTGCAATCAGTTGTGTCGTTTGTGGGACACGTCACCATCGACTCATCTTGATGTTGCACAGTCAGCAATTTTGTGCGACTCCAGCATCCTCAGGCAGCAGTGAAGAAGATACATGCTCATCAACATGCATCGGTCGCCATACGATGACTTCCATACCGAATTGCATGTAATTCACCAGTTTCCATCAAACCCATCCAAAATCATGTGAACATTGAAGCTCGAGCCTTTTGTAGTCTTTTTCATCCTGCTCAGGTCTTCATACAATTTGAATGATCCTGGCCCTTTTGGTGTTCAACATATGATTCAAGCTACTGTGCCTTGTACTCAGGAGCATCATTTTGCTTATGAAATGGTAGAGGATGTTCTTTACTGTCCGAGAAGCTCATGTCTTCAGCAGTTGTTGGTACACCCTGCTTGACATGGTGACCGCTCTCCATTGCTTGGTTAGTGTTTTGAAGATCAGCTGGAGGCATGCTACCTTGGGACAAGTTCTGCCCCTTATCCTGCTTAACCTTCTCATCCTCAACAGCCAATTCAACACCATGTTCTAGCCCTCTATCAAGTAGATCACCATCGTCCATCACATTTATCTTTGTTGAAACACCACCTTTCGATTTGCTTTGCTTGTCCAAATCTGCCTTTGCCTTATCCTAGTCGATTCTATGCACCACATCTATTCTCAAGGTTGACAGCCCAGGAGCTTCTTTGTCACCAACACTATCTCTTGTTTCATTGGAATTATCATGTGATCGATGTGGTTTATGTTCTTCCGCTAGATTATGAGACTCATAGCTGGCCTTGGAATAATGATGTCCAGGCGAGGACCTTTTGTCATGGTGCAATCTGTCCATACAAGCATCCGTTTTAGTTCCACTCCTGTTCTTTACTTTGCTGCCACCATTGTTATTTTGAAGCATTTTGTGGCCAGAAAAATGCTTGTCTGAATTTGAGTGCCCAACATCATGGTGACCTCCAGCACCTGTTGAGGTAGAATGCTGCAAATTTGACAGTCTGGATACTTGATGACGTCCATGAGCAGATGGTTCCTTGGAGTTTTCTTCAGGTTTTACAGATGAATGTTTATTACGCACACCAGCAGAGCTACCTTTGGCTTCACCTCCATGTGATGGTTGTGCCTGCGTTGTACGGTTTTGCTGATACAACTCCAACATTTGGTTGCTAAAATCTGCAATAATTGGACCATATTGTTATAATAAACTAATAAATAATAATTATGACAACAAATAAGAATTTCCATGCACTGCCTAGTCAACACTAAACAATACATAGTGAGTAGAGACCAGCTTCCACGAGGACAGAGGCTACTAAATTACTGATTCTAACAGCTGTAAGGTAGCTGGGACTTCCTAATTTTTTACAATTTAGCTCTTTTTTTGAAGAAAATTTATGTTTGGCCTTCTGGGAGATTTAAACTCATCTTTGGACTCTGGGGGTCGGCGCCATGAGTCCTGGCGCCGAGGTAACATGTCTCGGCGCCACAGATCTTGACTCCGAGGTGCCTGGCCGTGCACAGCAGGGAATCCTAGGTGGCGTTGACGTGGCCAGTACCTCAGCGCCAGAAGGCGCCGAGCTCGATGCCAGAAGGCGCCGAGCTCGGTGCCACAGATCTTGACGCTGACCTGGACACGCACCCGCGCGACGGGATGGGTACGGGAGACCCACGGCCTTTTTCTGGGTGTGGAGCAGGAGTAGGTATGGGCATGGCAGTCCACAGTCCACATCCACAGGCCACAGTGGGCAGGTAACATGCCAGGCCCTTTTGCCGCCTCGAGTGTCGCGCCCGCGCTGTTTCAGAGGACGGAGAGGTGGTGGACGTCAAACCTACGCTGCGTGTAGCTGTAGGAGTAGCTACTGTATTCTGTTCCTGTTGTGTTCCGGCGTCTGCCGTCAAACCGTGGAGGAACGTGCCAGTATTCTAATCGGGGATTCGATTCAACGGCCGCAATTTGGCCATGCGGTGCCTACTGCTACAAGACCATGTCTCGTTTGGACTCAAGAATACTGGTGCCACTTACCAAAGAGATATCCAAACGTGCCTTGGTGAACAGATCGGCGAAAACGTGGAGGCATACGTGGATGATGTAGTAGTAAAAACAAAGAACCCGGACACACTAATTGAAGACTTAAAGCAAACCTTCGAAAACCTGAAAAGGTGGAGATAGAAATTGAACCCAAACAAGTGTGTATTCGGAGTTCCTTCAGGACAACTACTCGGATTCTTGGTCAGTCATCGTGGAATCGAAGCCAGCGCCAAGCAAATTTGAGCCATAACAGAGATGGGCCCTCTTCGAAGTGTTAAAGATGTGCAGAAACTAACAGGCTATATGGCGGCCCTCAATCGTTTCATATCAAGACTCGGCGAAAAAGGATTACCTTTCTTTAAACTGCTAAAGAAGAAAGACAAGTTTGAATGGACAGAAGAAGCCAACGAAGCTTTCAAAAGACTTAAGGCATACCTCACCTCCTCGCCCATTCTCACACCTCCAAAGAAATACGAAGACATGATGATGTACATTGCGGCAACTTCTACTGTGATCAGCACAGCGATAGTCGTAGAAAGAGAAGAAGAAGGGTGCGTATATAAAGTACAACGCCCCATATACTACATTAGCGAAGTACTGTAAGAATCAAAAATCCGGTACCCGCATGTGCAAAAACTACTCTACGCCCTCCTGATCACTTCACGCAAGCTTCGCCACTATTTTGAAAGCCACAAGATTACCGTGGTGACAGATTTCTCACTCGGAGACATCCTACACAATAGAGATGCAACATGGCACATATCTAAGTGGGCAATTGAACTTGGTGCTCTCAATATCGATTTTACCCCACGGAAGGCAATTAAATCTCAAGCCCTTATCGATTTTGTTGCCGAGTGGACAGAAATTCAACAACCTATGTCAAATACCATCCTTGACCATTAGAAGATGTACTTTGATGGATCGCTCAAGCTAGGCGGAGCCGGTGCAGGCGTTCTCTTCATTTCTCTAGATGGAAAACAACTCAAGTATGTCCTTCAGATATTATGGCAAGCTACAAACAATGAAGCAGAATACGAAGCCCTCATACAGGGGCTCTAAGTGGCAATTACCCTCGGAATCAAGCAATTACTCGTATACGATGATTCGACAGTAGTCGTCGACCAAGTCAACAAAGATTGGGACTGCACCAAAAAAACATGGGCGCTTACTGTGCTGAAATACGAAAACTCAAAAAACATTTTCAAGGATTGGAAATTCTACATGTCCTGCACGATTCTAATATTGCAGCAGACGTCCTCGCCAAGCTCGAATCGGACAGGGTGAAGGTCCCACCCGGCGTATTCATAGAGGAGTTATCAGCTCCCTCTATCAAACAACCCGGTGAGATAACCCCTGAACTCCTAGCCAAAGGCACCCAGATTTTGGTAATCAACACCTTATGAACCCAGGTTTTCATTGATTATATCAAAAAGAATAAGTTGCTAGCAGATAAGAGAGGAGGCTACCCGAGTTGTTCGCAGAAGCAAGAACTACGTCCTAGTGGGGGACAAGCTCTACAGAAGAGCCGCATCATAAGGAGTACTCCTAAAATGTGTCTCATTTGAAAAAGGTAAAGAGATCTTAGACGAAATACACTCAGGTTGTTGTGGAAATTATGCCGCTTCAAGAACACTAGTTGGCAAAGCATTCCGCACCGGATTCTACTGGCCAACCGCTTTGAAAGACACAGAAGAACTCGTCAGAAAATGCAAAGGTTTCCAAATGTTCACAAGACAAGCTCATGTGCCAGCTCACAATCTCATTTGCATCCCACCCGCTTGGCCTTTCTCCCGCTGGGGGCTGGATCAAGTAGGACCTCTCAAGAAAGCAAAGGGCGGTTTCGAGTACATCTTTATAGCAATTGACAAGTTCACCAGGTGGATTGAATACAAACCTCTCGCAAAATACAGCGCAGCCAAAGCAGTCGAGTTCATCCAAGACATTATGCACCGCTTCGGCATGCCCAATCGAATCATCATAGATTTGGGTTCTCCCTTTACAGCTACATAATTCCAAAGTTGGGCACATGATTGTGGCTTCGGCATAGATTACGTATCAGTCGCACATCCAGAAGCCAACGGACAGGTAGAAAGGGCTAATGGACTCATACTAGCCGGATTAAAACCAAGATTGTATGAAGAACTAGTGGACTATGGATCTAAATGGATTGAAGAATTACTCAAAGTAGTATGGGGACTATGAACTTAAATAAGCAGAGCCACCGGATACTCACCTTTCTTCCTAGTTTACGGATACTCACCTTTCTTCCTAGTTTACGTCACCAAGGATAGAACAATATGACGAAGCGTTCCTCGATTAGAACATATGTATCGAGTATGCTATGGTTTATCAACATTCATGATCAATACAAGAAGATGGTTTTCCACTCCAAATTGACACCTAGTACTATATATATTATTATGGCTTATCAATTACGTTCATTTATTGTCAATAAAGATGGACTAGGCACGCATTTGATAAATCTGGAAAACAACAATACATGTCTCACCAATAAGGTTTTCCCATGAGTTCAAAGAAGAATATATATAGCTTAACCACAAGAGATCAGATTCATGAAAAAAGATAGCTAAAAACATATGTATTATTATGAGTCCACATTCATGAGGGTAAAGCTAATTTCCTCGACAACATAATTATTATGGCTTATCAACGTTCATGATCAATAAAGATGGTTTTTCTCGAAACATATGTCTTAATATGGTTTTCTCCGAGTTGTTTTCACTTAATTATGCCCGAGAGCATACCGAAAAAGATGCTTGAGCCCACCGATGAGGGTAGCTAAAAGATGCTTGGTCAAATTATGCTCGAGCATACCGATGAGTGAAAAGATGCTTGAGCTCAGCTAGGGTAGCTAATAAGCTAACACCAACCAAAAAGCAAAATGGCTAAAATTATGCCTGAGCATACCGGCCGAGAGCAAAAGAGCTGAAAAGATGCTTGAGCCCGCCGATGAGGGTAGCTAATAAGCTAACACCCGAACTAAAAAACAAAATGGCTAAAATTATACCCGAGCATACCGGCCGAGAGCAAAAGAGCTAAAAAGATGCTTGAGCCCATCGATGAGGGTAGCTAATAGGCTAACACCCGAACAAGAAAGCAAAATGACTGAAATTATGCCTGAGCATACCGGCCAAGAGCAAAAGAGCTGAAAAGATACTTGAGGTCGCCGATGAGGGTAGCTAATAAGCTAACACCCAAACCAAAAAGCAAAATGGCTAAAATTATGCCTGAGCATACCGGCCGAGAGCAAAAGAGCTAAAAAGATGCTTGAGCCTGCCGATGAGGATAGCTGATAAGCCAACACCCGAACCGATCCAAAGATGTTTTTACAACCAGGAAAAAAAGCCAGATGCTGGCCACATCTCGAGTTAAGCAAAAACGCTAAAAGAAGAAGCTAAAGATACTTGAGATCGCTGGTCCTAAGTCTTTTCAGTACTAACAAGAACAAAAAGGTTGTAAGGACAAAGAACTACTTACCCCGAGTTGTTTACATGGCAGCTAGACAAGCACTCGACAAATCAAGAAAGTTTGTCAAGACAACAATCTACAGATACCGAATTGTTTACAAGGCGAAGACATCCAGGCAAAGAAGACATCAACAAAAAAAAGAATCTTCATTCAGAAAGAAGTATAATGTCCTATTACAGAGGCTGGAGTACAAAGGTCAATTACATCAAGCATCGTCATCAGGAGAAGAAATATCAATATTAAGATTATCCGCAATCCTCCTAGCTAAATCTTCGACCTCAGGCTCCACCTTTTCAATGGCATCTAGATATTCTTGACTCTCGGCTTCCTCTGCAATCTTGGACAAAGGGACCTCCGGAGCAAGAACTCGGACCTGGGCAAGAACGTTTCTGGTACATAGTTGAGTGCACCTCTTCACGAACTCCTAGAAACGGGTCGAAACTTTGGGAATAAACTGAGCCCAAGATTGACCATCATATGTTGGAGTCTGGAGAAGGTCGGCCACTGACCAAAATGATTTCCACAAAGCATTCCAGTTCTCAGTAGCCGTCGTCAACTTACCAGTCAAGACTTCAATAGTTTTTGAGCCTGCACAAGATCCCTGTCAGCTCCACGCCTAATCAACTTAGCAAGCGCGAGTTCTTCTTCAGCATGAGTAATTACCTCATCAGCCTTGTTGTGATTACTACGAACAAGTATCTTCATTTCCTCAATACCCTCCGAGAGCTTCTGCTTTTCAACTCGGAGAGCTGGACCAGGCACCAAAAAACAAGTCAGCAGAAAGGGAAATTTGAATACAAAAGGAAACAAAAAATAACCCGCAATACCATTGCACTCTTTCTTCATGGCCTCCACATTCTTCAAGGCCTCATGGACAGCAGCATCCCTCCGCTCTTCTGCCTCAACCACCCGAGCACGGAGAGCCTGTTCCTCCTTCTGGTGCGTTTGACGCTCGGTCTCCATCTCGGCCCGACAGAGGTCAAGCTCTGTTTTTAGGGCACTAACCTCAGAAGACAACTTTTTCTCGGTTTCAGACAAGAAAAAGAAGCCGGTATGATCCCGAGAAAAAGGCTGAACAAAAAGAGAGAGAGGAAAATAAGACATAAGAACAGAAGAAAGACGAACATCCAAAGAAAGAACTTCAGAAAAGACATACATGGAGTTTTTCCCCAAAAGAAGTTGCAAAGGTCGC